TGTACTCTAACCTCACTAGGCTTCAGTCTCCATGCTTGTCAAAGGGAAATTCTGTCCCTCACTGCATGTTTTGAGAGTTATGTGGGAAAAGGGACACGAAGGCACCCGTCCACACAGGTGCTCCAAGTTGAGTCAGCAGGAGCAACAAAACTAGTGTCCTTCTCTGTCATTTTCCTGGGAGCCTTTGAAGGCAAGGACAGTTTAAAAAATTATTTATTCATTTATTTTGCAAGTCAGAGTTACAGAGAGAGAGGGAGAGAAAGTGATATCTTCCATCTATTGGTTCCATTCCCCAGATAGCTGCAATGGCTAGCACTGGGCCAGGCTGAAGCCAGGAGTTTCTTCCAGGTCTCCCACATGGGTGCCGGGGCCCAAGGACTTGGGCCATCTTCTGCTGCTTTCCCAAGTATATTAGCAGGGAGCTGGATCAGAAGAGCAGCAGCTGGGACACAAACCGGAACGCATATGGGATGCCGGCACTGCAGGCGGACACTTAACCTACTACGCCATAGCCCAGGGCCTGGGAAGGCCACTTAGGACAGTGGAAACCTCCTTCTCATACCAAAAGGATGCAGAAGATGGAGGGAAGCCACTAGAGCAGTGAGCGGCTAAGGAAACCACGCTGCCATCCATTCTTGGCCTTCTTTCTGTGTGTCTCTGGACAGGGACGACTCAGCTCCAGGAACACTGTTTGCAGCCAGCTGGGCGGGGCCGCTGCAAGGCCAGGGCTCCCTGGGAGGGCCAGGCACCTTCTGCAGCTGTGCAGGACCGGGCGGCAGTAACTGCCAGGCTGGGCATCAGCTACCTCTGGTCTCCCTCTACCCACTCCACTCCACTCGCAGGCAGAAAATATCAGTTCAGCATTTGCACACACTCAGGAAAGTGATAAACGGTTTGTGCAAGCATAGAAGGATGTGGCTCTGCGAAAATGCTCAGGATCACTAGCCATCAGGGAAATGCAAATCAAAACCACAATGAGGTTTCACCTCACCCCAGTTAGAATGGCTCACATACAGAAATCAACAAACAACAAATGCTGGCAAGGATGTGGGGGAAAAGGTACCCCAATCCACTGTTGGTGCGAATGTAAACTGGTGCAGCCACTGTGGAAGACAGTATGGAGATACCCCAGAAATCTGATATAGACCTACCATATGACCCAGCCATTCCACTCCTGGAAATTTACCCAAACAAAAGAAATCAGCATATGAAAGAGTGATGTACCCCATGTTCATTGCAACACAATTCACAATAGCAAAGATATGGAATAACCCAGATGCCCATCAACTGGATAAAGAAATTATAGTATATATACATTATGGAGTACTACTCAGCTGTAAAAAAATAAAAAATAAGATCCTGTCTTTTGCAACAAGATGGTCACAACTGGAAACCATCATGCTTAATTAAATAAGCCAATCCCAAAAACACAGATATCATATGTTTTCACTGATCCAATATAACTAACAGAATACCTGAAATGTATTGGAGTGAAATCGACATTTTGAGAATAGATGACTGTTTATAGCCCTTGTCTCTTCCACTGAGGAAGAGTGATTTGTTCTGTTTTCTTTCTCTTCATACTATGTGTTGAACTCCTTTACTTAGAGTAGGATTAACTACACAATCATTAAGTATACTGAAAACAGATCACTATAAAAATTAAGAATGGGAATCCGAGGGCGGGGGGAAGGGTTGGAGTGTGGGTGGGAGGGTGGATGGGGGAAAATCCCACTATATTCTTAAATCTATCTATATATCATATATATATATAACTTAAATATATGAAAGTTGTATACTTTAAATAAAATTAAAAAAAATATTTTGAAAAGGGCTGCAGCTCTGAAACACACATGTACCCGGAGAGTCCCTAAGCCACACTCCTCCTATTTTGGGGCACCCCATGAAAGCAAGCTGGCTTCTCAGGAACCCACACTTGACCTCAGCCAGGAGAGAGGTGGCCGCATTCCTGGAGGACAGCCACTCTCATCCTGAGGGGCTGCCGCCTGCCCAGCCCGGGGCTTCGCCGCACCTCCCAATGGTTCTCCCGGCAGCCAAGCTAAATGACGAAGTTGGCCCACAAAGTTAGAGCAATTCAGGGGACAGCTATTTAACAGCTCAGAAGGGGCTGGGCTCAAAGCAGTTCCTTTACCCTAGGGAGCTGCATTTTTCTAAGATTATTATTCCTTGGGCTGGCTGTTCGGCTACCCCGCGTCATTTCCCCTTTGGGTGGGAAAGTGCTTTCCTTCTGCATTGATTTGCATTATGATTTAAGCCCTTTTCCCCCTTCATCTGCAGATCTCACCATTAAAATGTGACCTGTGGATTGCAAAATCAAGGCATATAAACTTCGCAGTCAGTTTGGAACTGTGGCTGGGAAAACGCTGGCAGTGAGAGAAACCGTGTGGTCTCAGCAGCCTGTCACCACGGGCCCGAGCACCAGCAGTGAGTGCTGCTGAACAGTCGCAGGGTGACAAGGGGACACCAAAGTCTAACAGTGGCCACACGGACAGGGGGCTACTCTCCAGGGACTTACACCCTAACGCAGGCATACGACCACATACAGATCACAGGGGCAGAGACTCAAGGGCGAGAACCCTGCACTCTGCCAGGAGAAGGGCCAGAAATGACCCCCAGGGAAGAAAGGGGCCTCTCTGGTCCCTGCGACTGACACCAGTGTATGAGAGATCTTCAAAAAATTCATGTGAAAATGCAGACTATGGAAAAAAAAAAAACAGGCATGAATTTCAAAGTATCTTGCCTCAATATAAACTTATCTTTTTTAATGGTACTTTCCACAAACTTCTGGAAGTACCCTCGTAGTCGGAAGCCCAGGCCGGGTGCATGGCAAAGAAGGAGCCGCAGGCAATATCCCCTACAATCAAGTGAAGTTCATTGTTAAGATCCAGGCTTGTGACCAGCAGGAGCCTCGGAGCAGAGCCTGGAAGCCCACCTGTTAGGGGTACTGGGGAGGGAGACGCCGGCACAGGACACAGCGTTGAGACTTTGCTGCTCGGTGAAGTAAGGAATGGGACCTGGTGATACCTGGTGACCAAGCAGCGACTCAGGCCCGCTGAAATCACCTCACACAGGTCTCCTCCTTTGCTGGTCCTTTTCCCTCCCTAATGACCTTGTCGGAGTCACCACCAGGAAACAAGCACAGGCCGAGACCCTCAGCCGCGCTCTCAGCAAGCCGCTGACCGGTTCACCTCTCCTGCTCTCCGCTCTCCAGCATCCCCCTCCCTGATCTGGCCCCTGGGCCGGCGGGAGAGCAGGCACTCCTTGGGCAGTCTCTGTGGCGGCCCCAGAACAGGTGCCGTGGGCAAGAGAAGGCTAAGACTCCCTGTCTGCTTTCAGGAACTCTCCTACACATTCTGTCCAGCGCCTCCCGCACCTGAAGCCTCCATCATGCTCACCTCCCCCAGGTGAACCATACCCAGGAGGCTGCAAAGTCGGGTCTAGCAGCCACCTGCCTGGCTGCAAGGACAGTTTGGGTCACTTCAGGGACCCAATCCTTACCCACTGTGCCCCTGTGCAGACTCCACAACCCCCGTATTTGATCTGTGGGCTTCCCAGCTACAAGGAACGAGCCTCTCGTGCAGCCCATCCACAGGGACCCCCCTTCTCAGCATCCCTCGCACTCTCCCCCCAGGGCTGGAGCCTGCACAGCGGCCAGGAGATGGCCATGGCTTCCCAGCGGCCCCTCTGCAGGGCCCAGCCCCTGCACGCCATTCTCTGCGCTCCTAGGTTACTCATCTAGCCGGAGAAAGTCAGGAAATGTTTTCTTTTATGTCCTCGGTCCCTTCCTGCGGACACTCCGCACACTGTGTGGGAAGTCACCTAAAGTCAAGGTCCCTCTGGGATGTGGCTCCCGCTGGCCTTTTGAACAAGGCGTGACCTTCCACCTTCTCACCGGGCCTCCGTTTCCCAACCTCCTGCCAGTGAGTTAGAAATTCCCAAGGAGCACGCATTCTCCTGATCTGATTCCAGGGCACACCTCTAGATTGGATGAAGCAAGTACTCCGCAGAGCAGAAAGCTCATGAGATACCTGAAACTTACAATGAATGATTTCTCAAAGCTGCCCCTGAACGCCAACATCCGGTGTGGCAAGCAACCCGGCCCCTCCGGGGCACCCCCGGGGCAAGGCCCAGTGTCACACACAGGAAGGCACCCGCCAAGGGCACCACGTTGCTTTGCTCAAAGCGCTTTCCAGTTATTTTTACTTTCATTTTATCACATCATCGCTAAGAGGCGTGGGGATCATTACTTCCATTTCGCAGACGGAGAAACTGAGATCAAAAGAGGAAACTTCGAAGGGACACTAAGAATTCCACTAGGGCTGGAATTCCAGCCAGATCTTCCAGACCAAAGGAAGGACCTGGGCACCAAGGTAGCAGGGATGCGGCGGGCGGGGGCGGTGCGTGGAGCAGCGGCTCCCTGGGTAAACAGAGAGAGGGTCCCGAGTTGCGCACCCCCCACCCCCGCCGGCGCGCCCCGGCTTTAGACTGGAACTAGTGGAGCGTAGGCTTTTGAATCACATCCTTTGTCCTGGACAATATCCTCTGAGGTGGAACCCTTCAATTAAAAATCCGTTACTCGGGTTTGAAAGTTGAGCTCTGTACCTGCAGAGGCCAGCTCCGCGTCTACAGGGAAAAAAAGAACGGCACCGGGCCGGCGGCCGGACGTGAGCCCCGAAGCGGGCCGGGGCCGGGAGGGTCCGTCCTCCGCCCCTTCCTTTCGCCTCGCAGCGGGAGGGGGCGGAGGAGGGGCACCCCACGGAGATGAGTTTTCCTCCAGGAGGTGGGGAGCGAAGGGATGGTCCCAGCCCCGGTGCAGCCACCTGCAGAAGCCTCCCTCCCTCCCTCCCAGCCTCGGGGTCCCACGCACGCCGCGGAAGCGGAGCCCCCAACCCGGGTCGCGCGGCGCCCAGGGGCCTAGGGCTGGGGGCGCGCCCACGCCCCCGGCTCGAGGCTCGCGCCGCACCCCGCCTCTCACTCACCCGCGCTCGCGCCTTGGGGGGCCAGACCGGGGCGTCCCCGCCGTGTCGCGGCGCCCGGCCCGGGGGCCGCCTGGCTGGGGTCTGGGGGCGCGGGCCCACGGCGCTCCGGCTCCCGCTCCGGGCCGCTCTCGGGGGCCCGAGCCAGCCCCGCGCCGGGGAGGGGCGCGCCGAGCGCCGGGGAGGGCGGCTGGCCCCGCGTCCCGGGAACCGCCGGCAGCAGCAGCAGCAGCGGCGCCGGCAGCAGCAGCAGCAGCAGGAGCGGCGGCGGCCACCGCGAAGCGCGCGGCGAGGCCATGGTGGCGGCGCCGCCCGCGCTCACATGCCCGGCGCGCGGGGCGAGCGCGGGGCGGCCGCGGGCGCGAGGGACGCGGGGCCGGGAAGTCAGCGAAGTGGGGCTGCGAGCGCGCTCCCCGCCTCAAAAGTTGTGGGCGCCGCGGGCGGGCGGCCGGGGGCGGGCGGGCGCGGCGGGGGCGGCCCGCGGCGCCGCTCCATGCTAATTAGCGCGGGCGGGTCGCGGGGCGGGCGGCTCCTCCTCGGGCTGACATCACCCGGCCGGCGCGCGGGCCCGGGGCGGGGAGAGGCGGGAAGGGGGCGGGGGCGCGCCCGGAGCGCGGCCGGCCTGGGACGGGGGCGGGGCCCGCGACGCCCCGGACGGCTCCGGCCACTCCTGCGCGCCCCTGAACCTGGCTTTGCCTTCTGGAGACGAATGAAACCGAACCTTGTCGATCGGAACCACTCTTGTCAACTCCTTACACGCACAGTGCAGGTCCGGCGAGCGGTGATCCTCACCAACTCCACTGCAACGAGCGCCCGGGCAGAGGAGCGCAGTGGAGCCCGGCGCCCTGCTCCCCGCCCGGCTGTCGCCGACCTAGCGGATTCGAGGCGCCGTCCTCTCATGCCACCCCTCCGCGTCGTCCTCTGGCCAGGGCGGGAAGCCTCGGTCCTCCCAAGCCTGGGTCCTGTCCCCACCCACCGGAGTTCTGCGGAGATGTCGCGGCCGGGACGCCCAGTCTGGCCGCAGGGAGAAGAAAGCTGTGAGTTCAGGCAGCCCTGGGGCTCTGGAAGAGGGCTTCCGGTTGCAGCCTGAGCTCACTGATGCCCGAGGACCACCGGTTTTTAAATGGCCTCTTTCAGGGGAGAGGTGCAAAGATTCCGTGCAAACAAGTCTTCATGCTAAAACAATGTTGGGTGAATAAATAATAAAATGTCTAAATTAGGGGCTGGGGTTGTGGGGAGGGGGTAAAGCTGCTACCTGTGACCTGTGGGCACCCAGCTGCTCCATTTCTAGTCCAGCTCTCTGCTAATGCGCCTGGGAAAGCAGCACAAGATGGCCCAAGTCCTTGGGCCCCTGCACCAGCGTGGGAGACCCAGAAGAAGCTCCTGGCTCCTGGCTTCGAATCGGCCCAGCTCTGACTATTGTCACCTGGGAAGTGAACCAGCGGATGGAAGATCGCCGTGTGTCTCTCGTTCTCTCTCTGTAACTCTGCCTTTCAAATAAGTCAATCTTTGAGAAAAAAAAAAGTAAATTTTAGGGCTACAAGCCTCTTTTAAAGTAAAGAAAGAGTGGCTCAAAGTAGGGAAACAATTTGCCCCGTCAGTTTTCTTAGTGACTGCACCTGACTACCTGCTGCTCATGAAAACATGGGTATGGGCTTCTCCATCCCCTCTCTCTGCTCCTCCCTGCTTCTCTGTCTCCCTGTCTCCATGACCCACCTCCAGGGGGAAGAGCACGTGGTGTCCAGGGCGGCTGCAGGTGGGCCCAGGGCCCACTCCCAGGACAAGTGAGTCATTTGGCAGAAAGAATGAAGGAAGCTGCGTATAAATAAGCTCACCTTCAATGAGGCGGTGAGGGGCACGGATTTCAATTTATTTTGTTTTCTTAAGAATCACAAAATAAACCCAACTTTCCAGGTCTTTCCAAGAAAGCTCCAAACCAACATCCTGCTGTGAGTGATTTGGTTTGCTCTCATGGCCACAGCTCAGCTTCTCTGGACATTGTCCGCATGCTAACAGGCAGGACCACACGCTGCCCACACCCAGCCAGACAGGCCCCAGCAGGCCAAGACACCGTGCTTCCCAGAAACATTTCATTCAGCCAACCAGGAAGGTTGAAGGGTCTGATGGCCCCTTGGGGCTTCTCCTGTGGGTGCAGAGATCCCACTGGAGCCAGCTGCACCTGCCACCTGCCACCTGCCACCTGCCCCTCCCCTTGGAGCACCACAGGTTTATCTCTCTCTAATCTTCCCTTAAGCTTCTCAGAGAAATGACCAAGGTCAGGGTAACTGTCAGCTGGGTAGGGCTTACCTTGCACTAGGAGCGGGAGACACAGGGAGAACCTGTGGAGCGATGGGTCACAGTGTAGAGGCATCCCAGCTCCTTTTGATTTCCTCCAAAGACAGAAAAAGAGAAAGCAGCCCGAGTCGGAGCCAGTAGTTGACTTGGTCTTAGAGCCCTTGCTTCTTGACCTGACTTGACCACTGTGATCTGAGCCTCGGTCCCTTCATCTGTGCAACATAGATCATCTTAGACGATTGCTGAGGAGTGCTCCAGCTCTGGTGTTTCAGGATTCGGGAAGATCTTCTAATCCACACTAGCGAGCAGGCACGGAACTGCTGTCTAGGGACATTTGTAATGTTGCCTTCCCAGGGATCTGAAAATCTAGACAAGATTGCTGATCATCCCACATGGCTTAGGAGAGATCCCCTCTGGAGCCAGGGAGACGGATCAGATGATGGCTCATCTAGAACGAGACAGGTAGGAAACCAGCTTAAACCAAATTCCTGGGCTGCGTGAGGAATCAGGCATTCCTGAGCTCTTCAGGGACAGGAAGGGGGCCGCTCCAGAGTGAAATCGCAGGGAGCTCAGTGGTTCTTCCGCTTGGCACTGCGTGAATCAGAGCTCTGCGTGGGTGCTCCTGACTCCGCTTGTATTAGGCAGAGGAGGCTCGGAGCTAAGAAACAAATAGTGCCGCTCCCCAACCCCCTCCCCCAAATGTAGCAGCCTGACCCCACAGATGCTTAATTCCTGTTCACTCTGCAGCACTGGGCGTGGATGTTCAGGTCCGTGGGGTGGCTTCTTCCCCACACACTCCTTAGGAATTCATACCATGGTGGCTCTGCCATTCTCCAATGGATGGCTTCCAAAGTTGCCCTGGGGGACAGCATCCAGAGGTGAAAAGAACAGTGCAATGTGAGGGGAGGGCGTGGGTGGGGAGCTTTGATGGGCCAGGCCTGGGAGTGGCATGCTCCACTTTTACATTTTAAGGGAGAGATAGGATCATGTGATTCACCAAACTGCAAAGGAGCCTGGGAAATGTAGTCCAGACACATAGAGAAAGGGGGAGGGGATTTGGACACCCAGCTAGCCATTTCTGCCCTACCACTTGATATAAGTAGGGTGCAGACAGAAAGGGACATTAAAGCAGATTCATCCCTATGGTCTCAGTTTCCTTCTTCATACAACAGGGGTGTTGAATTCCATGCTCTCAGTGCCCATCAACCTTAGTATTCTGTGGTTCAAAGAGGTGACCAAATGTCCCTGTCACCAAGGTAAGCAAGCCACACAGGTTCCTGCCGCAACACATCCTCACCTGGAGAAGCCCTCCTCTGCTGCTCTGAAGGGTGCACCCAACTGAGAGGGCCTTGGGTTCGCTCCAAGTTCTGGTTCCATCGCTTGGCCAAAGTCAGTGATGTCTGTTGGTCTTGGTGTACCCAGCTGTGCAGTGGGATGAAAGTCGTAACCCTTGGCTGCCTCGCCAGTGGTTGGTCTGAGCATGCGATGAGATCACTGTTGGTAAGGCACCTGGAGCTCTTCTGACTATAGTGCTCTGTATGCTGCCCTCACTGTAGCCAGAGTTTCTTACAACACTGCTTGCTGAACAGGCCCCAGAGTGTGCCCAGTTCCTGAGAGTGGTGCCCTGCAGGGTGTGTGCCAGTGCAGGGCGGCATCACCATGGCTGGGAACAGAGGGGACAACATGGAGGCAGCATCTCAGAGACCCTCAGGCAGCTGGTGATTCAGCCCACAGTGTGGCTGACGGATCAGCTAACAGAAACCTGGACTGAGCCTCACCTGGAGGCAGGCAAGCTGTGCTTAGGCAGCACCGTCTCCCTGGCGATTCTGGCCAACTTCTCTCTTGCGTGCTTCCCACCCCATTACACTGTGGGGCTGTCTCCTCCCCTTCCCAATCTCTGAGCTGCTTTCTGGGAAAGTCAGGGCCTTGTTCATCTTTGTATCCCCAGAACCCAACATGGGACCTTCTCTCTCTCATTTAGTCATTCAACAAATATTTATTTAGTAAGTACTCTGTGCCTGGCTCTGGGTTGGGTATTGGTTGAGTCTCTGATCTCCTAGAGTTTAAAGGTTTGGAGAAGCCCGACAGTAACCAGAAGGGCATAAACAAATTCATCAGTGTGGGAGCACTGCGGGGGTGGGTGTTGGTCTCCCAGTGGACATGAGATTAAGCAGAATCTCAAAGTTGTGTAGACCGCTGACCAGGAGAAGAAAGCTGGGGAGAGTATGTGCCGAGGCCCTGAGGCAGAAGCAACTGGGATCAATGTCAAGGGCTGGAAGGAAAGCAGCATGCCTGGAGCCAGAGAGCGAGGGAGAACGTGGCACACAGTGAGGCTGCAGACTGAGAGCCTCCATGCCAGGCAGACCCTACTGCTCATTTTAAGGACTGTTGCTCTAAGAGTTTAGGGAAATCTCTGTAAGGTTTCATGTCAGGGAGATGGGCCAGGTGGTGGTGGAGAGGAAGAGGATGGACATGGAAGACAGATTTCAGGGTTCCCTGGGATTCTGGTTTGCAGGATCCAGTGGATGGTGGAGGTGGGACAATGAGTGAGAACTAGGTCTTCGAGGTCAAGACCATTGGCTTAGTTTTGGAGCTGGGCTTGGGGTGACTTCATGACATCCAGGCAACCATGTCAAGTGTGCATCTGAAACCACAGACTTGAGGCAGAGAGGTGAGGTCCAAGTTTGAGGTGTGGATTTGGAAACAAAGGGATGAGCGGCGTGGAGAAGAGAGTAGCATCATCAGAGAAGAGAACTTGAAAGTGAGCCCTGCGGAGCCCAACGTGACATGGCTGAGCCAGGAAGGAGACTGGACAAAAGCCATGGAGAGGCAGGAGAGAACCCAGGAGAAGATTACGTCACCAGAACAAAGGGAAGGAAGCCGTGGCTAAGTGTGAAACACTGCCAGGAGGTCAAGTGAGGTGAAGACAGATACTACCCAGCGGTGTAGCAACATGAAGTCACTGGTGACCACAACAAGATTTTAAAAAATATATTTACTTATTTGAAAAGCAAAGTTACAGAGTCTAGGGGGTGTGGGCGGGGGGAGAGATCTTCCATCTGCTGGTTCACTCCCCGAATGGCCACATTGGCCAGAGCTGGGCCAGGCCAAAGCCAGGAGCCTGG